GATGTCTAGTTGTGTATTATTGTTAAACGGAAAATAATTATTGTAATTTAATTGATTGAATATTATTTTTTAACCAGCATTTTTTGAAACACAAATTCAAGAGAATATTTTAAAATTATTTTAAAATGGTTTTACAATTTTAATTGTTGTTAATATGTATTTAATGTACATATAGGCAATCAAAAATATATTTAAACCAAGAGTTATGTTTTATGGCCTTTTAAACTCAACGGGCTCAAATGACTTAAGTAGATTAAATTTTAATAGCGTGGGTGAGCTTAAGTTTTTAGTAAGGAATTTATAGTTTAAGTATGTACTTATGAATATTGTATATTATACATAATATAATGTGCCTATATTATTTTCATTAGGTGTATAGTTACTAATACTGTAATTGTTAAGTTGTAGGCACTGTAATATTTATTTAATTTTCGTGCGTACCAATTTGAATAACAATAAACTAGATCTATATTAATAATGGAGTGTCTGATTTAAATTTAAATAAAATAATCACTTTCACTTTTATTATATAATTGTGCAAATGTTAAATCAAAATAAACGTCATAAACAGCATAATAGTGACACGATACAGATTTGAATGAAAACCCCTTAACCGGTAATATCAATATAAACTTGTATAATTAACTGACATTAAATTAACATAATCATAAATTATTACTCAATCATAGGTTCCTAACACTATTTAGAGTTAACATACTGAATCCACAGTCAATTAAAATATAGGTAAAGCCACTACTAAATTTTCGAAGCGTCATCTTCGCTAAAGCTAAATGAATAGTTTATTTTACTCAAATATTTAATTATTTGTAGGATTTTTAATATAACAATTATTTTATTTGGTTTGTACCAAATTTGAAAGTTATATCTATTCATTAGTTGATACCATACCACAATGTTTTATATGCATCCTATTATGTTTATATATATATTATACGTATACATTGTGGTTTTAATTATGTAGGTATACATAAACACTAAATCAAAAGTACCTACCTATTATCCATAATTTATAAAATACGCATGTGTAAATAGAGTGTACATTTATCCCTCCGCTCAGAACCTAAAAAAAAATTACATAAATAATACACTAAAATATTTTTTCTGAGAAATTGTGTATTGTTTATATAATTATTTAGGTGTTTTAATAAATAAATAAGTAAAAATAATACTACCAGCTACTAGATAAGAATATGCAAAATAAAATAGTTTCTTATTTATTTGATTATGTTCTTTACACAATTTCCGAAAAATTACGTTAAAGATTTCGGGTAAAAGTTGTGTCGCATATATCTACATTTAAATTATTATTGAAGGAGACCCGTCATCGTTTGTAAGCTCCAGTGTCTGCTTCCTGCACTTGACCCGGAATAAAATCTACGTAAGTTTCTTTCTTTTGAAAGGAAAGTTGTTTTATGGAGTAAAAAAAACCCACTTCGAGTAGAGAAAAAAAATGCGGGAAAAAGGGAGAGAATAAAACGAAGAAAGGGATCATTGAGAGCGTTTCATTTCCCTAACACGACGGGAAACCCGTGGCTACGTTTATCTTTGACAAATCATGGACGTGCAAGGAGAACGGAATCGAGGAGAAACAAAAAAAAAGGGGTAAGCGGCGTGCCCCTGGATTTATTTGCCACTTTGTGTTTATTCCTCTTTCGACTCTCTATGTATTGCGTTCTCATTCTTTGGCACATTATTCAGAATGCGTACAACAACATACACCGATATGTGCTGTTTGTATATACGTATAATAACAAAAACGTTCTAACCTGTGAGCACATAGGCATAAACCGGGTTAGTTTAGTCGGGGACGGGCTAGCGGGTAGTAAAATTTATATGGAAATGACCCTATGTTGCCCCGGGTGATATGGATAAAGGCGGCCAGGGGGAGCTGGTACATACGTGTAGTACATTATTAATACGATTCAAATTATGGTTTTTTGTCGGTCTTTTGGCCGGCGAATTTCACCAACAGTCGTACTACACCAACACATAGATGTAATAATAATATTATAATATATAATTTGTCAAACAACAGTGTGTGTTTTGAGTTGTTGGTTTTTAGTTCGCGTAAATATTGAAATGATATATTTTTTGCTTTACTCAGTGTACGTTTATTACCATTTACCAGCTCGGTTAGATGAACATAAACGTAACAGGTGTATATTATATTCAATCATCGCGGTATGCTCTATAAAAACAGTTTAAACGTTTTATTGTTTACATTTCATATTATCTTTAAAATGTCTAAGAGCATTTATTTCACATAATGAAATAATATGTAGGTAGGTATAGGTACTATTTATTCTTATTTTTAAGTTATGATAACTGAAACCTATTTAATAGTTGTGGCGATGCTACAAAATTGTAATTTTTAAAATCCTAGTATGTAAAGGTAAGCAATATATTTTAAACTTTAAAATTTTCATAACATGGTAATGACAAGGTAAATAATTGTTTATCCACAGAGATACCAGATACATAATACCAATACCATTAACTTGAGTATTGGAAATGAATTATGCCATATTAATTACAGTACCTAATGGCTAATAGTATGATCGTTACGGAACTAAACTTCTGTCGAAAGTTATTCTGAGACTTAACGAGCCGTGCAGGTTATAAGCTTACGAATTATATTTAAAGTATAAATACAAGTTAGCTGCAGTACAACGGTAGGTATGACATTGGAGAATGCAATTCCAAAACTTCACTGGTGGAATAAAAGAGATCGATGTCGGTATGCCTAGGAGATATAGGTATAGCATGCATAGTCTCAATGATGTATCAAACGCGGATATAAAAATCGGAAATGTGAAAGGGAGGGGGCTAAATGTTTGTGAATGGACAAATATACATATATTTTTTGGTTTTTACTTTTTTACATACTTTATATTTAATTACTGAATTTGTTGTCAGTTAAAAAATAAAATTATCGTACAAACATTTAGTAGGTATTTATAGTATTATAAAAGTTATAGAATAAATTCTAAACGATGGTTACGTTTTTATATCCCAAACTTTAAAACAATTTTTTAACAAATTATTAAAAATACGATTATGTGTTCAGATATGAAAAACGAGTTTAAAGTTTACTTCAAACATATTATTCAACTATTCATTTTGAGACAATGAAAATTAAATTAAATTTTATGTAATCATTTAAAAAATTGTCTTCGTCACCCCGCCATATACCTACCGTGGATCAGTGCCTGTGAAGTGTGAAGTAACTATATTGGCATAGTAAAGTCGTGTGTGTGCGTGTTGCTGGCAATTCATAAACTGATTTACTATTTTACTCGTCTACACAGCGTTCTGCGTATTCGACAATTGAGTGCTTTTACTGGAAAAAAGTTGTGTAGATAGTATAAGGTACCTACGTCAATAAAGATAGAAGTAGCGAACAGGAAAACCAATTTTCGGGATATTTTTCTCTCTTAACGAGACATCTGTTATTCTGTTAAGCCCAACATACATAATGTATATATCATTATTCGTTTGTGTTTCATTGCGTATTATATCAGCTGTACATTATTACTCGATGGTGGTTTATAAATTAATAAATTGTTAACCGTATAATACATCATATCACTAGTGTCTAGTACATACATAATGGAAACGTTTTTAATCGATCAGACCATTTTGAGAAATTTTCAATTTCTATTGTGAATCTCAAAATCCTTGTGTGAGCACCAATTTAAAATAAGAATTTCTGCACATTCTTGCTTAGTGCATCCTTACATGGTGATACGAAGGTACCGTGAAGATGTCAAGTCTCTTGTCTCTTATATAGCTATCATGGTTTTTGTCTATCACAGTCAGAACTATGTAGTAAGTATAGATGTATAATGCACATAAACTAACAAGTGTAGTGAAGTGTCTAATGCATTTTATTCACTGAAATAATATTTGTTTTGTGTTGTATTTTATTACATATTCTCTAAACTTATAATGTTTCAATATCGATAATATGCTGTAAAATATAATTATTTATGGCCTGTATTTTTATACTTCAATGGCAGTTATAATTTTATAAATGTGTTTTTTTTTTTATGTTTCTACTTTTATGTTATAACTTATAACCTCTATAAAGTAAATAGAAAACACAGATTTTCAGTAGAAAATTGTTTTTTATTTATTATTATAGTGAAAATTAATAGCTTCACCAAACCGCTATGATAACGAAAATTCCGTGGTATGAGTTCCGTGTACTTGATGTCGTAAATCAAAATGAATTATTTCCTTAAAAAAGCAAAAAGGATAGAGATTGGAAAGTGGGAGGTAGATTTTTTTTACAAACTACTTTTATTTTAGAGTATTTCCTGTAGTTGTTTAAAATAAATGATAAAATACGACGATTAAAATCTTATTTTTTAAATGTTCCCATGGGTTACCGAAAGTCGAAACATAATATATTGATAAGATTTAAAAATTAGATTAAGCACATGTGAAATAATAATATTATACCGTTGTTTCTTTTTATTTTTAATTCTGAATTTCTGCCTAATAAGTATATTGAAAGAAATTACAGATAATATTTATATTTTTTTTAATATAAGCTTTTAACGAAAAAAAAAACACTTGTAATCATTGCAATTTATGCAAATGAACATTTAAAAATATAAATTGAATAAAGTTCAAATAAAATAAAACAATTTTAATTCATTCATAACTTTTTACTACGCTAAGTATAAAACTCTATGTCGAGCTGACTGTCAAGATTTTAATCTTGAAAGCAAAAGTATAATGTTTAATCTTTTTACTGAAAACACGATATTATGTTTATAGTGTTAGAATAGTAAACCAATGTTTGTACACATTGTAAACACTTAGGTACAGATAGTATTGTTATTTTCACCAGGTAAATAATTTAAATATTGCATTACATTTTACAAGATAAATATATATTTTAATTCAACTTGTGTTTCACTTGTGAGAACACAATAATATTATCTTATGTAAGTTACAAAACTTTATTTTACCTTGTATATAAGTGGAATGTTATATTTGGGTTTGGACATCTCGATGGTGGTTCTATACAACTTTCAAACATTTTGAACCCTGGTAAATCTCTTAAATCACCTCTGCTTGATACTAGGCAACTCAGAATCCATACTGTAACATAAATGTTAAATATCCTTAAATACTTAGAAGTATACATGACTTATATATGGACAATATTTAAAACCTCTAGAAAGTAGACTGATTTTTTAATTTGGGCTGAAAATATTATAAACGTCATAGTATAGTGATATGATGGAAAAAGTATCCATTTCATTATAATTTTACTACTATAATCTAATATAAATTAGGTGCTGCAATTTATTTCTATATTAATTCTATAACGTCTTTTAGCTATAGTATAATTCAAATAAACTATCACATCCTAATTCTTAATAATTTACAATGTTTATACATTATAATGATATTATTATGTAGGTGTTTATTTATTTGTTGTATAATACTTAATATGTAATAATATAATTTTTATAGGTAAAAACGTTTAGTTGTTTGACATAGATCACAGTGATTAACCCATCATATTATATATATTATATCTACTTTGAATTATTAACAAAAGGATTAAAGCATAAGGCAACATAGATATTAATAATCTCACTTTATCTAATTTAAACTCGGAACACGAGAGCTATAGCAGTAACTATAGTTAGTGTGACGAAAAAAATATTGGAAGATTATAAAATAATTTTTTTATACATTATAAATGATTAAATATTTTAAATAATTAATTTTTTTAATTAACTAAGTATTTTTAAATTATTAAACTGTTATATATAAAAATAATTATGATAATGAAGATTTTTAACATAATATGTTACATTTTTTGTTTTGTTTTGCTTACATAATATTATGTACTCTTTTTTGCTTAAAAAATGTATGAAAATATAAAATGAAGACACGATAAGACAATAATATTAAAAAATATTTTTAGTTCATTTGAGATAAACAATTGTCCAATGATTTAATTCGTCTCAACGAATAGTTGTTTTAATTCAAACCTAGTAATACATATATATTAGCAATACTAAATAACTTTTAATTAGAAATTAAAATTTATTTTATAATTTTATATTTTATTTTAAAATGTTAAGAGAAATATTTTAAAACTATAATTTATAAACATACCCCCTTATATATGTCTGTATCATTCCCTATACGGAATCAAATTTAAGTCGTTTACATCAACTCAATTTTATCATTTGAGACGTAAACGTAAGTGTTTACATACATATGTATTTATATGTATTTATATACATAGGTCGTAGCTACCTATGCATACTTTAAATTACTTACTATAGTTTTTAGTCTTAAACGTTATAAAAGTTAAATATTTTTAATGTTTGATACTTAAGAATTTAAGTTTATATGCAACTATGATGGTGAGGTTTTATTTGACGAAAAAGTTTTAAAAAGGTGTTATCTGCTAGGGTATAACATTATTACATTATAATTATTTTGAATTAATTAAATAATTGCTTAGATGCATTTGGTATAATTATATATTACTGGTAAAATTACTGAAATTATAATATATACGACACACTTTTGTCCTTTTGGTGTAATAATCATTGTGGTTAGGATCATTATAGAATATAATTATTAAATGATGTGTAATATACCTAATAATTTTTGATGTTATTTTAATATACGAAAACGTTGTAATTATAATAACAAACACAATAAACAATATAAAAAATCATAATATATTATTCAAGGTATCTATGTAAAGCAGTTTTTTTGCAGTACATCTAGTAATAGTACGTATTCAAAATTTCAAAAGAAATTAAATCAGCGTACAACCTTGTAACTTGTAAGAATATAGGATTGGTGAGTGGTGAACCAACCAAATTGTTACAAAAATGAGTATTAAAATCAAGATGAATATTATTATATGTATTTTACAACCTTTAAATACTCGAAAAATGCATTAATTGTGTTATGAACTACAAGTGAAGTATGCAGTGTAATATGTACGTCCTGTCTTCACTATTTTGTGAACAAATTTTGATTTTGATGTTTTTCCCCGATCTATCGTATTTATATCGCGTGTGCTCGTTAAAAAGCTATGGGCTAAATATATCGTAAACGATTTATTCTTGGGGTGCTACCTACAGACCCGCGAGTATATAACAACGACCTATTGCAGTGGTCGCAATTTGGGTGGTCGAGGGGGAGCTTAGCCCCTCCTAGTTTTATTTAAGCCCCCTAAGTTTTCAAATATATTCATTCTTAAATCCACCTAATAAAAAAATTACGTTGGTCTGTACTGATTTTATAAATTCAGCCCCCCCCCCCCCCCAAGTGAACTGTCCAAATTTCGCATATGGGGCTCAAATATTATTATGTACCTAGCTCGAAACAAACGCAATGGTTACACATAATGACATAACTAAATTATATTAATATCATGATTCATGACGTAATAAGGGTGTGTGTGTGTGTGTGTGTGTGTGATTGTTTGGCCACCTCTATTATAAACTCCTCCGAAAAATGCATAAAACTCATACGAGTATATTCCCGTATTCACGTTTCTGCGACAACCACGGTAGTCGGTATAGGTATAGGTAGGTAGTAACCTATGCATGTATACTATTATATTACATTATTACATATACCTATCATGCCGAGAACACCCGACCGAACGCCCTTCGGGACGCGTCCGGACGCCTGCAGTCCAAATTTTAGTGTGTCCCCACAGCATATATGAGAGGTATATACAACTAGGTAGGTACCCACTATCTTTTCTCCATTAAGTAATGCTCCGTGATAAAAACCACTTAAATTAAGTAGTCGTGGGATTATTTAATAAACCGCTCGTCTCAATAATAAAATATTATTACCTATATTGTTGTAATAATTATAAATCAGTAAATAATAACAGTATTTTATAGCAGTATAGGAAGTATCATTCCAAGGTAAATATAAAATTATTTTAAACGCACATTTATATACTTTTACTTTAACGATAATAAATTATAACCAGTAAGTAGTTACAGCTACCATATTTTTTTATTCGTTTGTCTTAAATAATAATGTACCACAAAAGTCGTTAATTAAAACAAACTTTGATAAAATTTTGAAACTTGAAAGTACGTGGAAGTTATTTAGTTTTTAGTCTGACAGAATAATTAATTTAGTTATAATTTCAAGAATTACCTATCAATATACAGGGTGATTTTTTTATCGAAGAACACTCATTATTTCAAAAAGTATTAATGTTTAAGAAAATATTTTTTTACATAGTTTCAAGTTGTTAAAAAACAATATTTTTATTAAAAAATTATATTTTTAAATATTTTTTATCCTTTTAATTTTTTAATTTTTTTACTTTTTTGAATGACAACATCTAATTTTAATTTGATATTCAAAAACAGAATATTTTTCTGAGTATTTCGATACATAAAAATTGAATTTAGGGCAATTAGTTTATGAGTTATAAGTATTTAAAGTTTAGATGAGCGGAGTAGAGTGGTACGGGGTTACCCCGCGAAATGTTTGTCCTCTACTCCGCTCATCTAAACTTTAAATACTTATAACTCATAAACTACTTGCCCTAAATTCAATTTTTATGTATTAAAATAATCAGAAAAATATTCTGTTTTTGAATATCAAATTAAAATTAGATGTTGTCATTCAAAAAAGTAAAAAACTTAAAAAATTAAAAGGATAAAAAATATTTAAAAATATAATTTTTTAATAAAAATATTGTTTTTTAACAACTTGAAACTATGTAAAAAAATATTTTCTTAAACATTAATACTTTTTGAAATAATGAGTGTTCTTCGATAAAAAAATCACCCTGTATATTATATAAATAGTTACACTCTTACACTAGAAAAGTTTATCATGGACGATGGTAAAAGTTATATGATTCATCTAATGAAAAGACAGTATAGAAGCAGGAACCAACCACAAATACATCTCAAAACAGTGAACAAATAAAACGGTACGGTAAACATTTAAATACGATATAGTTAGGTATCTTTTCAATAAAATTATATTTCTAAGCTCATATTATATATGTTTTCACATATTTCGAGGATCGCTTGAGACACACGCGTTTTTTTTGTAGAATTAAGTAGATTTCGGACTTTTTGAATATTTTTCAAAAGTTGTCCATCGAATTATATCATTGGATTTCGTATTTTTGAGTTTAAACATTAAGAATAATGGTTAAATTAACAAAAAAAAAGCTTTTCTACTCCATTACTTGAACTGTCCATCTGTATAATATTCTTGTTTATCGAAGTTGCCAGTCGGTATCTGTCAATATTAACTACCCACAATGAGACCAATGCTTTTTTTTAATGATTTGTAAAATAATTATTTATTTTGTGAGCTTGCTCTTTTCTTGTAGAAAAATTCTACAGTGGGATAATAGGATATCATTTGCAATGTCAATTATTTTACTATCGTTGTGTACTTTTTATTTTTTGATAGTGTGAAAACCCGAGCCTACCTAGAAAATTGAATTGAATATAAATTAAATTGATTTTTTTGTATTAACTTTTGTTCTACATGTGTAACTCATTTACCCTACTAAAAGACATGCTTAATGGGAGTAAATCAATTATTAAATTTTAGATTCAGGCCAGAGCTATGAATGTATTGATTTTATAATGACGTTTTTTTTTTTTTTGTGTGTCTGACATCACCGTTTAGGGCAGTAAAACCACTACTTTGATTTTCGTGAACAGTACCTATCTTGTTCAATGGGAAAATGAATTTAGTTGGTGCATTCGGTCAAAAACTAAAATTCCCAGTAATAATTGTCAAAAGCACCAAAATAAACAAAAAAAAAAAAAATTAAGGAAAACCTTGAATTTTTAATCAAAAATGGTTTTTGAAAAAATAGATTTTGGTTTTTGGGGTAATTTTAATGCAAATGACCATACATGCCATTTTCACTGGTTGTTTGTATATTCACCTTTTCTATACTCAATAAAATTTTCAAAATATTTTTTTTAACTGTTTACGGTCATTTTTAGTTTCTAATTTTTTTAGTTTTTTTTTCCATAAATTACAATAACATTTTATTGGTTGTGTAAAAAGCTTGAAAATTTAACACAAGGATTCTAATATATTACTAAAAT